AATAAATTAGCTTATAACTTATGTAGTTAGCTTATAAGCTTCTTATATTTAAATAAGTCTCGTTTGGTAGGGTGTGCTTTTTTAAAAAGCTCGAGTTTATCTTATAAGTTTCTTTAGGTAGCTTTTCAAATAAGCTAGTTTAATTTTTTATTTCAGCTAGTTTATCAGTTAATTTTACGAAACATTTATCATATAAGTTAGCTTAGCTATAAGCTCGAAAATCACATATGAGCCATATGCTAACCTATCCGCTATCAACTAACATATTAGCTAGTTTTACCAAACATAACATAACATTAGAATTGTGTTTGATTATTTTCTGGACAATATCCATCCTTATTTCGACCAATTATATTCGATATATGTGATGTTGAAAGGTAATTAAATACTATTGGAGATTCTAGATAAAATTATTGTACAAGAACATATCTATTAAAAAAAATATATATATATATATACGTACTTCGATGATCATCACTCATTTTATACTGAGAATATTTTGATTTTTGTGGAGAAAAAAAGAAAATTATGTGGTTTGGATAAAAGGCACTCAACTGTTGCTTAATAATTCTTTTATCATCAATCATGCTATTGGATTATTCCTATGTCATCACTAGCCAAAGCTTAATCCAAAAACTAAAATAAAATTAATCCATCTCAAATTCTTATAATCGTATTTTATAAATAAAAAATAAAAATACATATGTATTTATATAATGTCATACTTTTATATACATTATTTTTACAATATGCTATTTAAATTAAAAAAAAAGTATATATATTTATCTAAAAAATATAATTGTTATAATCACATATATATACGCATACTAAATTGACAAGGAAGTTTTAAAGAATTAATTCCTTCTATCCACAATTTAGACAAAATTGACTGCACTCAGTATTTATCCAATAAAAATTAGAAAATAAAAAGAATTAATGACCTAAATAATTTTGAATTAATTTTGGGCGTGGGCAATATTATTTTTATTTTTTTTTTTATATTTTTTGTGATGGATTTGATGAACAACATGCCATTAATGGGATAGTGGGGACATCAAACCTTTCACATTTAATTTTTCCAAGTTATTAATTTGGTCAAATATTATCACTAAGGTATCGTAATCTCTGTATATATTTTATTTTGCTAGAATTTGGGTTCATAAAATTTGATGCTTCCCACTTTGTGTTGTTATTTATTTATTTAAATTTAGTGGGAAATATAAAGGAAAAAAAAAAGATTTATAGTTTCAAAATTATATATTTAGGTACAAAAAATTCAGATAAAATTATCACTACAAAAAAAAACTCTTACATTCTAACAGAAATTTTCCGTTAGAATTCTTTATATTTTCCGTTGGAATAACTATTCCAACGGATATTCCTACGTATAAAAATTCGTGGGAAAAACGGCCGTTGGTATAACTAAAATCCAACGAAAAATCCTATAGAAATAAATTCCTACAACTATTCCAACGGAAAAAATCCGTTGGAATTCCTTAACCATCCAACACTTATTCCAACATAAAATTAAGTTTGTTGGAATATTCATTGGAATTTTCAACGGAAATTTTTGCCGTTGAAATTTTTCGTTGGAATTGAAGTGTTTTCTTGTAGTGTATATATATTTGGCAGAAAATCGAAATAAGTGATATTATTATGAAGGGAGAATGTGATTTGTCTAATAAAGCATATTTATCTCACTTTCTAAAAGTGTCACATGTTCTTTACTACTTTGGGAAAGATTAAAGCTAACAAATTCTGGTTTTGGTGTAACCAATTATATAATCCAGTTTTATTTGTTTCTTACTTAAAAAAAATAAGAAGAAAAAATAAAATAAAAAATGGAATCACATAGTTAAGACTATTAAATAAAAATCATAACTTATCAAATGTGGTGAAATTTGACACAGAAAAATATTTTTTGTAAAAACATAAAATATAACGGAAGCACGTACAAATAAATTTTTCTAAGAGATATTGTGCATTGTCATCATATATAAATTTGAAATATTTACACTTAAATGACACGCTGTTCATTAGCTATTTTTCTAGTCAAAATCTAGGACATAAAATGTCAAACTTGTGGACCTAAAAGCATCTAATGAATCTCGTATATTCAACAATTATATATATATAAAAAAAAATTCGACTCCAATTTTACATCAATGTATGTAGGTCAACTGATACATCTCACTCTTCGTAACAGTTGGATCAAAAATAAATAAATAAATAAATAACTTTCATTAAATTTAATTTACTGGCCTAACCAGAAAATCATAAAGAAAATATTAAAATTCTAGGGTTAAAAATCTCAAGTTATTCTGACGATCTTGTCCATATGCATTTTTATGTAATTAATTTATGAGCACGTCGCGTTTTAATCATCGTCATACAATAACTCTTTGATGATTGATTTACAAGACATGAATTCATCATTGTATGATACACCCGTTAAGGGTTGACCTCGAGTTGTAGAGCAATTTTGGGTCGTCGATCCAATGAATGATCTTGTTATACCAACTGATTAACGGGAAAAGAGAGAGAGAGAGAGAGAGAGAAAATAACCAAAGCCTAATATCATGAGGGAGTTCAAGGGTATGAGGGCCCACCCCCTTCGCCGCACGTGTCTTGCAACTCGTTCGTCTTGCTAGCGCACAACAGAACAGAAGAATCGGCGCTCGCAAGAAAGTAAGCTTCTATGTAACATATCTTTTACGTCTTTCTTTACATATAACAAACTACCTTATAATTAATTTAAATGTTGATAAGTTCGTCGTCTTTAATTAATATATTGTAGTTTGGTCGATTGAGTTTTTTACTCGTCTTTAATAAATACACATTCATTACATCAATTTTTCTAAATGTCCATAATTTCGAAGTAATTATAATGTCAACCAGTCAATGTCCGCTTATCATCATATATAATTTTGAATATTTACACGTAAATGGCACGACCTACCAACACTACTCATTAACTATCTTTCTGGTCAAAACCTTGGACGTAAAATGTCAATAAGCTTGTCGCTCAATTGATACATCTCACCCTCTGTAACGGTTGGATTAAAACAAAAACAAAAAACTTGAATTTAATTTATTGCCTAATACGAAAATCATCTCTCAAGTTAATCTCATGATCTCGCTCATATGCATTTTTGTGTAATTTATGAGCACGTTGTGTTTCATCATCATCATGTAATATCTCTTTGATGATTGATTTATAAGGCATGAATTCATCATTGGATGATACAACCGATAAGGGTTGACCTTGAGTCGTAGAGCAATTTTGGGTCGTCGATCCAATGAGTGGTCTTATTATGCCAACCGTTTAAAGAGAGAGACAGAGAGAGAGCAGAGAAATAAACAAAACCAAGTATCATTGTTGAAGGACATGGGGGCCAAGATATGGGGGCCCACCCCCTTCGCCGCACGTGTTTCGGAACTCGTTCGTCTTGCTAGCGCATCGCACAGCCAATTTATCGACGTTTTCAAGAACGTTAGCTTCTACGCAACATCTTTTACGCCTCTCTCTACAAATAACAAACTACCTTATAATTTATTTAAATGCTTATAAGCTTGTCGTCTATAATTAATATACTACGGTCGACTTGGTTGTGTTTTTACTATGTCTTTAATTAATACACATTTATTACATCAATTTTCTTTTTTGTGAAATCTCTATAATTACGAAGTTAATATAATGCAAATAAATTGTTCACTAAATTTGATGTTTATGAGCAGGTTTATCGATTTATTTTGAAAAACACTTATAATTTTATATAATGGAAACAATATGACCCTTCCTTAAAATGGAGACGTGAGACCCAATCCCAAACCATTGATTTGTGTAGAATCAATTACTCATACTAATCAATTGAAATTTTATTAATTATATAATAAAAATAATAATTATTATATTAGAATTAATTATATAACAAAAAACTAAAATGATCGGTCTGACCATCGACAGACAGCCATTGACCCTTTTTTTACGGCGACAACAACACTATCAGTTTTAAGACTGCACGTTTAGTTAATACATAATGCATATTTAGCTAAAACCAATAAATATATAGTGTATATTTAGTTCATACATAATGCATACTTAGTCGATAATGATTGCATATTTTGACAAGGACACAATTAATTTCAATAAGTCAAAGATCAACGCCAGTACCAGAAGTCCCTCAAAACATACTTATATAAAAAGAATTTTCCTTCATAAAGAATTGCTTAAAATTATTTTAAAACATATGTCCTATATATATATATATATATATATATATATATA